GAGAAGAATGCCTGGATCGTTCCGGATGTTATTAGACAGCGCTGCGGTGTTTGCCTTAACATTTATGACCTGGTCTGAGCCCCGGCTGCTCTGGACAGCATTAAAGTCTGCCCCTCTGTCCTGTATAAATATGCGCTTTATGGCTGCACAAGTGAGAGAACGTGGTAACGAGCTGTAACACGGACGAGATGTGTTTGGTAACTTCGTCCTCCTCTTTGATCAACCCAGATCCTGCTCAGTGACCTGCAGAGCTGAACATCTGTTTGTCCCCTCTGTAAAAGATCAGCCAGTGAAATCACAGCCTCCCTCATCAACATCTGTCTGCCCATCTCCAAAGGGGAAGGCCAGGGTATTGATTACATCTAAACGAAGGGAGCTCAAGGTTTTCACACCGAATAGACATTTTAACTGAGAATGGCTTCAGGAGGAAGGCACCGCTGTGAACGGCTCTGTCACCGTGAGAGAAGATCAGTGCTCCGCGGTGAACATAAATTACACAGTTGGCTGAAAGTGAGTTCACTTCTGGGTTTAAAACAAAAGAACAAGTCACCGCTCAGGAGTTTGTGTCTCTGTTTGTAGTTATTTGTTTTTTATTTTTGTCTAAATTTTGGGCCAAGTCAGCACCAGTTGAGGACAGTCGCCATGACGAGTTGGCAGAAAAATGTGCCAGTGTGTGAGGGCAGTTGTGTAAAGACCAACAGCTCACAACTGCTCTGTGGCCAACTGACAACAATTTTGATACAATTTTGTTTGTTTTTTTTTCACCATAATTTGTCTCCGTCTGACCAAAAATTACATGTGAAAAGTAAAAAAAATCCCAAAAATTCTCAAAATGCTCTAGTGTGATGAGTAACATGCAGATGTGATTAAAAATTCAAAAAATGTTATCATCATTTTTCTCCAACCAAACATGAATCTGTAGTGTTATGAAAAACTTCATATGCTGCACCACTGCCATTGTTTAAAATTGTGGATTTTATTTGCTGGTAAAAATGGCTCATTTGGTGTCAAAGGTTGAAGAGCCCTGAACTGGCCCAGCAGTCCCATAATCACAGTGTTTTCTTTATTTTAGGCCTGGCTCACTCTGGATTTGTCTTCTTTTACAAACTCCCAGCACTGAACCTTTATCTGTCAGCAGGTAAAACCAGTGGACAGTGCAAATAAAGAGCTCAGTTAAACAGTAGGAGCAGAAAAGCCCGGAGCCAATCACTTCAGCCAACTGCCTGTAAACATTTAATGGGAATTTTCCAAACAAACTTCAGCCCAAAGAGCCTGTGCCTGCGCTCCCTCCCTCCATCAGTCACCTATCAAACTGTCACTTTTACCCACAGCCACAATCTGTTTTCAAATCGGCAGCCAACGTTGGCAGGAGAGCGAGGGAGAGGAGCTGCTTCTGTGACAGAGGCAGAGACAGTAGCTGAAGCAACAGAGATTAGCGGAAAGAGGAATGAAGACACAGGAATAAGTGGGCAACGAGTCCAGAAAGTGAAGGGGAAACCAGTCAGCAGCGCTCGCTAAATGGATGCCATCTGGCCCGACTGAGGAAGCCATTTGTGTAAAGAGAGGGAAGGATGCATTCTGGCAGGCGGGCCAGCAGGTGAACACAGTCAGGAGCAGACAGAAGCTTGCAGCTGCACAAATCTTTTTGTCTGTATCTCCATTTCACAGGACAGAGATGATAATGGTGTGAGCTCTGCCAGCAGTCAGCATGTCAAGTGAGGTGCACTGAGGTACTGAGATTTTATTGTTTACCTGGCAGCAGGGATGAGAAGAAGAGGCTGCAGAGCCTGCCTGCAAGAGTGACACAGGCCCAGGAAAGCCAATTAGATGTGAGAGACAGGGAGACTCTGTGTGTGTGTGTATATATGTGTGTGTGTGTACTCACTTTTGCTGCCCATGTAGGACCAGTTCTAGTCCTAATAGAGACCAACACTTGGTTCTTTTGAGGCAGAACCTTGTTCTTCTAACCCCAGAATACCAAGACCGACCACTGTTTTAATCACACCCAGAGAATTCTATTCCAATGATCTAATACGCCATCGAAAGCTAATTAGTAAGGATGGAAAAAAAAAAGTCAGGAGGAACTTTCATCTGTCAGCCGTCACTTAGCCACTGTTGAACAAATTGGATGTGTCATCCTGCGGGATCTCTGCAGCTCTGTTTGGGCCAACGTGCAGAGACAGAGAGGATTTGGCTCAGTGACGATGGCCTCATTTGATTGCTTTCTCTCTCTCTCTCTCTCTCTCTCTCTCTCGGTGGAAAACATGTCTATCACCAAACGTCCCAAACCTTAAATCCTTCAACCTAACTGTGGAAAACGTAGGGCCAGAAAGTGTGAAAATAATAAACTTAGCGTGACCTTTTCGCAGGTCTAAAAACAGATTTAAAAAGCAGCTTAAAAAGGGACACAAAAATCTGAAAATATTTTTTTGAATATATATCAGATACATAATATAAACAGACACATCTCTCTCTAGACCAGTAGTTTAGTAATATTTTTCTTATTAATTAATTCCAAACTAAATTATTTTAATTATTCAAAAAAGGACAAAATTGTAATGGACATCAAGTCATGGGCCTCATGTGAGGTCTTCACAGGCTGAAAGTGGCCACCGGGCCAGGACTTTGCCCACCCTAAGCTAATAATTGTAATTGTTGTGTTGTTTTGTTGCTATTGGCATTTGATTGGTTGGTTTATTCCACTGTTCCAACTCTGTATCTAACCTGGACCTGATCAGTCCAATCTGGTCTGGTCCAGTACGGTCTGGTCCAGTCCAGTAAAACTCTGACTTACTCCAAGCTAATAATAACCTGGGTTACTCTTCCTGGACCCAGAGGCCTGATGAGGTACTGCTGACCGTGGCACTAAAGCCAGGCTGGCATCAGCTGCCCCGACCCACAATGCCTGGGGAAATGCCGGCATCTGGCTACAGTGGCTGCTGGAGCGACCGAGAGCATCTGGCTGCTTCTCCCACTCCCGTAGTGGCCACATCGCTATTCTTCTCCACCCACCATCCCTCTGTCCAGCCTATCTTTGACAAGCTACGGAGAGCTGTAGTCATAGCAACTGCCAGGTCCGCTGATGCCCTTGGGGATCATTACTTGTCAGAATTCCTCAGTGCCCTCTCTCGGCAAACGGCCGGCCTTTTGCCGAATGGCTGTTTATCTTTGCAGACATGTATGCTTCAGTGTCCTCCGGCTGCATTCACTGCCTCTCCGTCTGTTCAATTCACCCTCAACAGTTACTGTCAAGGCCAAAAACTAATCTCTAAATTAGGAAAAAATATTCTAAATCTGTTTAGTGTCCGAACCCATTAGACTCAAACCAAACAAGGACGTAATTCTCTGTTTCTCAGGGATTTGGCTTTTTTCTTTTTTTTATATATTGATGCTGCAAAATTGCAATTTGCCACAAGGGGCTTTACAATCAGAAATCCCGGCGCACTGCACTGCAGAAGTGCTGCTGAGGTTTGCTAATGTTCACAGTGGCACACAGCAATCACACACACCAAATGAATGATGAACAGTCACTGGCAACTCCTTGAAAATTGAAGAGGCTGTCCTTCCAGGACCTGAGAGGGCAACAGCTGGTGAAAAGAGGGAGATGTTAGAGGGCAGAACCAGGGAAGAGAAATGTGCTGCTGAATCTCCACCAGGTGACACAGAGGAGAAATTAGATGTTACACAAAAAAAAACATTACCCTTTTCAGCAGAGGTTCAGTTGGTGTGACATCATCGTCCCTGATGTAATGTCTGATGTATTCAATGACCTTTTGTGAAACATCTCTGTATCAAATGTTGAAAATTCCTTATTGAAATAATTTTTAAAAATATTATTTAAAATCCCTGTTTGTTGATTGATGAATGTATCTTTTTAATATAGCTTTCAAAATAAAAGCGGTAATAAATTTGTGGAAAAAATCGGATACAAATTATTTGTTGTTTTGTTCCAGCAGTATACAGAATTTTTTTATAATCATATTTAGCTTTATTGATTTTTCTGAATTTAACATGGTTAATTACGATCACGATTAATCACGTTCAGTCATTAGTCATCCACAGTTACCCTGTGATTAATCAGATTTAAATAATTTCTCTGTTTGTTCCAGCAGTATACAGGGGAAAAATGTTTTTGACTTAATTAATCATGATTAATTACGATCACGATTAATCATGCTCAGTCGTTAGTCATACACGGCTGCCCTGTGATTAGTCACACTAAAGACTGTAATTGTTTGGCTGCCCTGCTCCTTCCAGGATCACCATAACTGAGGTGTAAACCCAGTGTGATGTCGTGGATTCCGAGGCCTTGATTAAGCTCAATATGAAGCCAATCAACAATACATCAGTCCTCATCTGATAGCATGACACCCAGTTGTGATCGGTGATGCATCAGTGGAATTGTAAATGAGCCGTGCTCCGACATGGGCCACCGTTATCAGAAATAACAGGAGTGACAAGAATATGAATCTGAAATATTGATTAGTGCGACTGCGACTCTGGTGTGAGCATCAAAATTGCATTTGCTCTTGACGGTGTCTCATTCTTTTTTCATTTCTATCACTCCGGGTCATTTAAAGCCATTAAGATTACGACTGCTGCCTCCTCTCTGGTCCGCCATCATCGGAGTTCTGATCATTAAGATAGAATCTCAAAAATCTGTCATCATTTTTCAGCAGCAGCTCCAAAACCCCCTCGCCACATTTGCAACCGCAAACAGTTTTCGGTAATCTTGCTCATGTCGACAGTTGTCTTATTCTCATCTTCATGATGCCACAGACATTATCAACAAATGACAGATCTGGAGGCGGGGCAGTCATGTTAATGCAGTCGATGTCCACAAGGAAAAACATTTCCTATTTTGTCCAAAAGAGTCCTGACATTGTTCTGCAGAAAAATCCACAGGTTTCCTTGTTGTTATGTTTTGTGTAACTTTGTTCAACAGACGATTTTAAATTGACTAAATGAGCGATTCTCTTCATGTGTTCCTGTAGGTGAATGATTGCAGATCAGAGTAAGGCCTTTGTAGTGCAACTCTGTCCCATGCTGCTCCCTCCTCTCAGGGGATGGCCAAGGTCCAGGATGGACAAACGAACGCATGTGAAAGGTACCAACAGTCTACTTCTACTGCTGTGTTCTCCTGAACCAACATGGCAGCCGTCTGTGGATGAGTGTGTTGAGCGTGCGTCTGTGTTTCCGTCTTGTTCCGCAGCTCTGCGATGTTAGAGGACAGCCATGATGGTATGGACAGTGATATCATAAGTCCTGCCTCAGTTCGACAGGTCACCATCAAGCGCCACCCAACTCAAGGCTTCGGCTTCATCGCGGGCAGCCAGAGGCCTGTCATTGTACGCTCCGTCTCTGCTGGTTAGTGTGTGTGTATGTGTGTTAGTGCATGTTTGTATTTTTGTATTTTGGGCTGTCAAAATGAACTCTTACAACCATGACAATTCATTTGTTAACTTAATTGGATTAAACTGGGCAGAATCACACACACACACACAGTGTGTACAAACATTCCACCTACAAAGTGACATTTAAACACACTGTGGGGAAATTTTTCTTTTCAATGAGGCATCACAAGCTTGAAATGTCATCTCTGTGGAGGCTTCACTTCAGGTTATTTCTCTTTCTTTTACACCAATACACATATTTGTTTTTGGTCATATTTAGGAACGTTGACTTGCCTCAATCAACCATGATTAATCGTGAATAATCCGAGCCTACACTGTGATTAATCAGATTGAATACTTTAATCGTTTGACAGCCCTGACGTAAACAAAACTTGTGTGTGTGTGTGTGTGTGTAATTAGAGAGCAGATTGACTTGCTGGTGGCACAAATCATTATCACGTGTGTAAACGAGTTCACATTTTTGGCTGCGTGTCCTGTGCCATCTGCAGACGGCCCCTCCTTTGGCAGGCTTCTTCCAGGAGATCAGATCTTGGCCATTAACGAGGAGACGGTGAGCGACGTGCCCCGAGAGAGAGTCATAGACCTTGTAAGGTAACATCCTTTATTGTCCCGGGGGGAGGAAGGGGGAGAGTGCAGGCCTGACAACAGACAGCGGGGCAGAGGAGGAGGAAGGTGCGCTTGGGGCAGATCAAAAGGGACAGAATGTTTCTTCATGCTAGTGATGAGAAACACCGACACAAATCAGGGGATGAGTCAGTCCTTTTGCAGCCGAAGGACGGCACGGAAATAAAGTGAAGAAGCTCTCTAAAATACCGGGCTGCCAGTGGCATTATCTCACCCACTCCACTCTCGCTTGTCTCTCCACAGACGCTGCAAAGACACTATAGTTCTCACTGTGCTGCAGCCCCATCAGGTAGTACAATCAGCCTCTCTCTCTTTCTCTTTCTCTCTCTCTTTATTTCCTTCCTTCCTTTTCATCATCCTCTCCTGCAGAGTTTATTTTCCTTTCACTCTGAATCACACAGAAACCTTGTGCAAGGTTATTCAGAGCACACACTTATGCATACAAGGTCCAACCTGCAGCGTACTAAAATAGACTGAGGACCATTTGTCCATTTAATGCGATGTCTGACGCCTTGTTGTCCCCGCAGCAGCAGAAGTACAAGTATGACTACAAGTACAGGAGTAAAAAAAAGAAAAAATCACAACATCATATTTATAACCATACTACTGCTACAACTGTCCAGCTGAGAAATCATACTCCAGTCAAATGTACTTTTTATACCTGCTACTTGCAATCATCATCTGAAAAATATTTCAAACTGCACTCACAACTTTTTCATTTTTGTTCTTTGATAAATTCATATTTTTAAAATGTTCCTGTTAGTACTGAGATCGACTGAATAATAAATGTGGCTCTAGAGTCAGAGTTTCTTTTCTTCATAAGCGTGTCTTGTCTTTCAAGTCGACTCAGGACCTCGTGTCTCTGTTCTTCTGTCTCCACAGTCACCTAAGTCTGCCTTTATAAGTGCAGCCAAAAAGGCCCGTCTGCGAACTAACCCACCTAAAGTGCGCTTTTCAGAGCAAGTGTCCATCAGCGACCCAGACTCAGTAAGTTCAACTTGTCATTTCTCTGTGTCACACACGCTCCCGCCTTTGTTGCTTTCACTTTCACTGTGCCAGGCTCAGCATGCCATCTCTGCTGGGTTGTGCTTGTGGTCGGAAAACGCAGACATTTCTCAACCAGAATCTCTCCACTGAGGCGGAGAAACGGTCCCGAAACAGTCACAATGTCACTTAGATTTTTTAATGCAGTAGCTATAAACATCTGTCACAAAGATTTTTTCCTCATTTATTTAACAGCTACAGTCAACAGTATGTAGCCTACATAAATTAAAATAAAACAAATATATAAATATATACAATATATTTATTTATATATAATACATTTATATATATAATATAAATATATGTAATATATAATAAATTAACACCAGTCACAACATTACTTGAATGCACTTAGAAAAAATGATACCCCCTCGAACTTGCCCCCAGATATTAGATATGGAGAAATGTGAGGTAAGACACTTGTCTTTGCACCCTTCTTTAAAACACAATAATAGAAATATAAAAAGAGAAGGACGACAGAAAAAGATGCCGCAGTCTATAAACCAAAACGGTGATACAGAGGACAATATATTGTTGATGGCAGCTGCAGTCGAAGACAGGAATATGATGCTGCGCGTCATTCCACTGTTTGATACCAATTTGGCAGCATTCATAAAAAAAAAAAAAACTAAACCAGGATATGTTTAGTCAGACAGACCGGAGGGAAAAAAGAGTCATTTGGGGGGTCCTGTGGCAAATGCGTGAAATGAAATTGTCTGTGAAATTTTGTTTTAAATGCCGCTGTTAAAATAGTTCACTATTAGTTCTGTTTCTGCTTACTCTGCTGAGAGACAGCAAAGAGTTTGATCCAGAAATACCACAGACGACTGTGTGGAAGTCGTGAACGTTCTCTTCCCAAACCTTCGGTACAGCACACTGATTAGTTTGTTCAATAGTATAGTGGTTAGCATGTCTGCCTTACACATCTGCAAAGGGTCTTGGGTTTGAGCCCCGGAGGAACAACAAATCCCTAATAGCGCCTCCTGTAGCAACCTGTGTGAATTCCCCCATTGTGGGAAGAATAAGGCAGTCAATTTTCTTTTTAAAAAAAAAAAATGTATGTACATCTTAGTGATGACTAGCCATATATTTATAGCAGAAATGCAGCCAATCTTGTGGGTTTCCCTACTGAAGTTCAGTGTCTCATTGGTACGTTTTTCAAGTTGGTAGTACGACTGTGAGATTTGTTCTTTCGGGATAGAAACTGTTTAATAAAACACCTAAAGATGAGTCTTAGCGCTAATGGCTCTTCTTAGTTTAAGATCAAAGTGCATAGATGGGGGGCTGTGGGTGAGGGTCCTGCCTCCTCCTTTTTGGAAAGCAATAACATATATATCGTGCTGAAGAAGCTGACATTTCTTGGAAAAGGTTCGGAAAATTCTTTAAGGAAGAAAGTGGGAACTCTGTCTGCTGATGTCAAAGTTAAAGGTTCACTGTACCGACCACAAAATTGTTCAGTTGCTCCCAACCCCTGGTGGTCAATCCAGAATCTGTCACTGTATATAATGTCAGAGAATTAAGATTACTGAAAAAAAGTACAATCAATAAAGAATCAGGAACGGGGAATTGGTATTTTGTCATCGTATTTTCCACTCACCTGAGCTTAATGGAAAAGACATCAACCAGGATTGCTTACTCGGTCTACGATACATCTATAACACAGTGTTAGGGAACCAACTCACGACCGCTTGCAGCTGATTTGATCATCCACTGGAGCTTTACTGTAAGAACAGCTGAGATCAAGTGAGCTGTGGATTTCCTTTAGGAACCATAAATTAAGTCCTCCAAATCCAGCGGTTCTGTTACACTCCGCAGCTACGGGAAGGCTGAACGAGTTCTCTTCATCAATCTTCCTCGCCGTTCTTCTACCTGTTCTGAATCTCGTTAATGTTGATGCAGTGCTGGGGCATGAGATGCTGGGGTTTGGGGTAATGAGCAGATATTTTAGTCGCCAACTCTCCCTAGGAACAGGGAGTCATTTCATTTGTTTGTCAGTCAAGGACAGTGGTTTTCAACCTGTGGCTCTTTAGCCTCTTTGCACTGACTTCCTGCAATGGACCAATGTAAGGATAACTGTACTTTATTAAAAACAGGAAGTGGCTGGGATTTTTATACAAAACTCAAGTTTATCTTCTATTTCTAATCTTATTTTAATGTCTTTGTGAGACTTCAGGGAATTTGGGGGTTTAGTTCCAAACTGTGCAATTGTCCATTCAGCATGATCTGATTGGGATTTTAATTAGAGAATTGGAATTGTAAATCACTCACCATATGATGATGTTGAGCAGATAAAATGATGTGGAGGGCCCGATTTTAAGATATGTGATTTAAAGGGTTGAAATAGGTTTTTTGGCTCTCTGTGAGTTCATTTTGTCGGTAAAATGGGTGGGTGGGGTGACTGTGAAGCTGTGGTTACGCCTCAGGTGGGGTGACTGTGAAGCTGTGGTTACACCTCAGCTCTGTCTCTACATGGAGAATCAGCTCTTTATGCTCACTAAACAAAGTAAAGATAGGGAAACCACCAACCTGTTTGTCTCCATCTTTGCTGGATTTTATACAGAATTATGGAGGGAAATCTGTCGACTCATAACACTGGCCTGAGTTATTTCCACTCCACCGAGGAGAGCAGCTTGCTGAGCCATCTGAATACTTACGGCTCAAAAAAGAGACACGCCAGACATCTGCTGTGAACAGAACCGTTTCCCCTCCCGGTTTGTTACACCGTCCTCGTGATTCCGCAACATATCATCAGAAACTTCTACGTTGCGTTTTTGTTGCTTTGCATTTGCTCCGAAAGTCCTGGAGTCCTAAATATTGCAGACACTTTCAGACATGAAGAGATTCTTTTTTCTTTTCAGCTCATCGTTGTTCTTATTTTAGTCTTATTTTATTCCGAAGTTATGGGAACCATAGAGAACATATTGGAGCTAAAATAAAAAGGACTAAAAAACATATTTTATTGTTTATCATGTCTTGGGTAACCAACCTGGGAACCTTGTTTTTTATTTCATTTCTTATTCCTCACCCACCTTTGGAAGTTGAGTTACATTCCCAGAGCCTAACTTTCTTTGAGTTACTGACTTTCATCCGTCCATTCTCTGCTGCGTCGTTCTTCCTAGGTAGACAGGAGGACGTGGAGCCAATCCCACCGATCAATCAGAAAATAGTCAATTCATGGGGAAACGCATGACTAGGATAAGAATTCTACTAGTTAGAACTGGGTCTTAAAATGGTGGTTGTTTTTCTGAAAAAGCATATGCTCGTTTATTAGGAAATTTATGGCTTATGGCTTTTCCGTTGAGGACATGCAGATTCCACTCACGATTTTTTTAAAACCGGCTCAGAAGCCGAGGTTTTATTTCTGACGTGAAGTAAATGAATGTTTGCTTTGATCCTGACACAATGTTTGAGGTAAAAATCCCAGCTTTATGTCTTTTCTCTGGGTAAACAGTAAAAGTTAAAATATCTCTTCACTATTCAGTTGGGAATGGGTTCCGTGGGCTCTGTATTTCATTTTTACTACCCAACAGATTGTATTGTGAAAAAAAAAATCTTTTGGGCCCTTATGTGTTTTGTTTTTTTTATTTCCTTTTGTCTTTCAGACAATGCTCAAGGACGACTCCTTGCTACTCATACCAAATGTGTTGAAGGTGTTCTTGGAGAATGGACAGATCAAGTCCTTTACGTTTGATAGCCGTACCACTGTTAGGGTATGTATGTACTCACCACCACTCAACTGTTCACATGAAGAAGGTCACTGAAGGCTAAAGGAGTAACAGCAGTGATGTCGGTAACCATGGGTTACCAACAGGTTGTTGTGTTTATAATAACCTTCAGACCAAACAGCTGGATTTCCTCACAGAGGTGAATGTGACCAATAAAAGCCTTGAATCTTGGGTTTGACAGTGACGTAAGAGTCAGAGGTTCAGTTCTGTCAGGACAGTGTGTTTAAATGAAAACCAAACGGAGAGTGACAGGACAGTGTGTTTAAATGAAAACCAAGCTGACAGTGGACCCGATATTGGACTGATGTTTATCAGTAAAGTTTGCTTTTATTGGTTATATTCCACTGCTTTAACAGAACTGTTGGGCCAAAAAATATTTGACAGGATGATAGCCATATCCTTAGCTGACTATGCAATAAACAAGAGGTTTAAATGATCACATGTAAATTGCGACATTTTACGAATCATGTCTCACGGTCGGATTTGGAACCGATTGACTTCTTCTGCACTTGTTAGTAACGCTAACAACTGTAATAAAAGACTTGGAAAATATTGCATTTTTTAGAGCATCAACAAAACTACTATAAATGGGTCAAAAACTGCCAGTGAAAATGTAGTTATAAATAGAGTAACATTGTAAAATAAATAAATAAAAAACAATTGTTATCAGTGGCCATGTAAACAGCCGGGTAAATAAATTATATATATATATATAAAATATATAAAAGCTTTAGCTGTGTAACTGTGTTATTTTCACATAATTAAAGTAGAGAAATAAATACAAGAAATAAGTAGAAAATAGCTGTATGGTTTTATAAAACTACTCAGTGAAGATAAGCAGAGGAAACAGCTTCTGTTTGCTGTGGAACGTGAGATTGGACTCTGGACGATGGTAATGAGTGTAACGAGCCAAGACTTACCCAAAATAAAGGAACTATCAGAAGAAAAACAGTCACATATGAAGCTATTACCCATCATGCTCAGTACCTACTGGAGCTGCTCTGTTATCACGTAGGGTTGCTTCACCTGGCCTACCAATAGGAAGTGTCCATCAAGGTCACCTGACAACCTCAGTGTCCTGAAGGACTTTTTTAGGACTGATTTTTTTTTTTCTTGGATCTCATGATACCTCATGCATATTTTAAGATGACAGTGTCAGGACTCATCAGACTCAGAATATCTCAAAGTAGTTCAGAAGGCATGAGTCAGCATTTTCACTCTTGGCCACAATGGAGTCCAGGTCAAAAAAAGAGAAAAGAAAAGTCTTTGGATTGTGTCATGTCATAAAAGGTACAATATTCAGATTGATAAATGAATAAATAACTTTGAATAAGTGTTTCCAAAGATATTAATACAATTAATAAATTAATGTGTATTTTGGATAAAAAGGATAAAAAATAAATTAAATTATATATATAAAAACAAGTCAGTTGATGAATGAAATGCGGTGCTAAGGTCAATAGGTTTTTACACTACTTATTTAAAAAAAGTATTTATTTTAGAAAATAAATAATATTGCTTATTTTAAGCATCTATGTCATTATTACATCAGTATCGCAAATCTACTCTATAATTTAGTTCTAGTTTTAACTGTGGATGAGCTAATGGAAACAGTCTCACATTAAACACCAGTCATAATCTAAGACAATGACATCAGTGTTACCAAATCCAATCCTGTCCAGAAAGTCTTCATCGGTGGCGTTCACATTCTTATCCGTCAGAGTGCGTTAATCAGACACTCCCGGAATCAGAGGCAGAGGTTGTTTTTTCCGTCTCCATGTCAACCTCCAGGATGAGTCTGCCATCCCTGAGCACAGTCATTAAACAGACTCTATTAGATTTCCCACATCTCTCTTTTACTCATGCAGAGAAACAGAGCAGCACTTTAAAGTGGAGATGGCCTAATTAACAGAGCAGCACTTTAAAGTGGAGATGGAGGATCCTCTCTCCTGTCAGCCTAATTAAATGGAACCTCAGCATAATAAGAGGACTCCAATCAATAAAACAATACCGGGGATTAAGTCAATGCTACCACCCCATGCCCACCAGCGTGCCCATTAGCTGGCGGTCATGTAATGCGGCAGTATTTGTGACTGAAACTTAAAGCCTACTGTGAATCCTTCAGCCGTTTACAGCCTCCCTGGGCATTATTTAAAGCGAACTGCAGAGGCAAACAGAGTTTTAACCGCAGCCCACTGTTTGTCAAGGGCAGCTGTTGCTTGACTTCTATTAACAAGCATCAATTAAATTGTTTGCATTATGCAAATGATGTGTTTTTATTTCATCCCTCTTGTCGAGCCTCTGCACCGAGAGCTAAAAAACACAGCAGCGTGTTACTACAAGAGAATTTAAATTTCCATGCGTCTAATAAATAAAAAGGATAAATAAAGTGTGAAATGGAGTCCTCGGGGATGGGCAATAAAATTACCATGAAATGTAAGTTTAACCTTAAAAGTTCTCTGTGGACTGAGCTGTATGAGAGAGAACATAAAAAGCTCGGTATCGTTTGTAGATAACAATCTGCACATGAACAAAGGGTTTCCGTTGCACAGTCCCCCCGTACAAAGATGCTGTTTTGTAAAAATAAGATGCACTCACTGTGCAGAATAAAGGATACGCACTCTTCCCATTACACATAACGACAGGACATCTGAGTAAAAGGCCAATAAACAAACATACCTTTCACTGGGATATCGCTGTAAAAAAGCACTCTCTCTATAACCATGAAGAAATTTCAGCATGGAAATAAGATCCTCTCATCAAATGTGCTTGTAGTAGAATGTGTTTTTGTTATGGGAGAAATGTACTTGATGCTCTTATCTGTTTCCATCTCTCTTCCTCCAGGATGTGATTTCCTCACTGCAGGACCGCCTCTCACTGCGATACATTGAGCACTTTGCCTTAGTCCTGGAGGCAGGCGGTCTGGAGCAGCACCAGAAGTTGCATCTGCTCCAGGAGAGCCAGCCTCTGACACATGTGAGAAAAGCCAGTGTTTGGGATGAGGTCCTGCTGTGATTAACAGAGTTAGATCAATAAAGACAAACCCCAACTGTTTGGTTGGATTATTGTCCTGTTCACAATAATTCCAGAAATGTTGGAATTATTTATATTAAAAAATGTATGTAGAGGTAAAACAAAAAACAAAAAGTTTTAGAAAAATATAAGTCCTTTATTTATCCCAGAAATTAGGAAATTCACAGTGTCAGTCTTTGGATCTCACATACAGGAGGTGCCATTAAGTCTGTGGTTCCTCTTGGGCTGGAACCCAGGCAGATATGTGAGCAGGCATGATAACCACTACACTATGGCAAAAGATGCAGGCAAATTTATGTTACCCATAAAATTAAATCACATGAAAGGTCCTGAAAGAACCTTTTCATATCTGGTCGATTATTATTATTTTATTTTTTTTTGTGAGCAGCACAAATCTGACTCGGGTCACTTTCATAACTGGTCCTAAATTGGATCGAACGTTTTTCAGAGTCTAAATCTGAATGAACATTTCATCTGACATTTACATCACTGAAGGGAGGCAGACGGCACTACTGGGCTGGAGCAGGGGGAACCAATAAAATGTAAACCATGGATGAATAATTATTTTGGGCTGGAGCAGGGGGAACCAATAAAAATAATAATTAATAAAATATTATAATAATATTTTTGGAAACCAGAGGAAATAACTGTCCAGAAAGGACAAAGAAGGAAATCATTGCTGAATGTTAGTTACCTTCCAGCTCTGCATAAAAATCTAAATAGAATTCCCTGTGTCTGTCATGCTGCCATTCACTGTGATCCTAACGCCTGGACATGGCTTCAAATGGAGTCCACTGTATGTTTGAATAATTCTATAATGTATGTATCTCCTTGCAGGTGGTGCATAGAACCTATTTCCAAGGGATGAGGTGTCTGTTCCGCATCTGCTTCTTCCCCAAGGACCCCGCAGACCTGCTGAGGAGAGACCCTGCTGCATTTGAGTACCTCTACATCCAGGTAGAGGAGGAGATTGACTTGACATTTAAAAGGCGGTTATTTAAACTCATAACACGGCTGAAGAGCTGCCTTCCAGCGAAATTAAATCAAGCAAATGGTATCAAAGTCGTCGCTGGGTTTAAATTTTAAAATATTCTTCAATTATTTATCAAGCTTGTGTTTTGCTATGACAAATGAGATTTAAAAAGAAAAGCTACATTTTAAGGATGTTTTCTGTTATTTGAACACATCATTTTCTTCCCAGTGATTCCACTCTGCCTAGTAATGGGATTTGTGCAAACTTTTCGTTACAGTGCCGCAATGATGTTATCAAAGAACGCTTTTGCATGGACTGGAAATCGGACATCACATTGCGTTTGGCTGCGCTTCATATCTTCATCACTGTGTCCTCAGCCAGACCCAATCAGAAGATCTCCCTCAAGCACGTCGAGTAAGTTCCAAAAGATTCAGCTTTGAAATGAACTGTGACGAATGACAAACCGTTTCCTGTTTACAACTGGTGGCAGATGAGAAGTGGTTTAATCAGGTTTCTGGTTATAATGGAGTGTGTTTGTGTGTGGGGGGGGGGGGGAGCTGAGCATAACAAAACACAATGAATGTATCATATAATTATTGTTTCATATCCATAAATTATAATTCTGTATTTCTAAATTATGTGCGGTCCCCCATAAATTATAATTCTGTATTTCTAAACCAAACCTATACCAAATTATATACGGCTGGTTACTGTCCCTGACCCAGAGGTTGGGAACCCTTGATTTGAGTTATCATCTATGAGCACAGCTGACATTCAAACACAAAATAATTAACTTTTCCTTTGTATCATTCACACCTTCTCTGTCTCTGTTCTCCGTCCCAGAAAAGAGTGGGGTCTGGAGCCGTTCCTTCCTCTCACTCTGCTCCCAACAGTCAAGGAGAAGAATGTCTGCAAGACCTTGTCTCAGCTGCTGAAGACCTACCAGCATCCACCACCGTCAGGCAACAAGGTTTCTTCAAATAGCATTTTGACATCAACTTAAAATTCTGAAGCTTGCGCTGTCGTTGTTTATACGGCGCTGGCAAACACTTCTGAGCATTTCAAGTCTAAGGGGCCATAACTCTCAGCACACGGACTCCTCTGGGCTTAATGCTTTAATGCATTCTGTGGTTATGTCTGTGAGATAACCAGTCCTTTATCTTAAGACTGGACCTTCCTGTGTACTGAAATAAGTGTTGCATAAGAGCTTAGGAAGCCATCTGTGACTCAGCAGTGCCCCCCAAAGGACAAAGTGAGTGCTGAGCTATGGCTTGAAGAGTCATACAGAGATGAAACTTGTTTATCATTCTGTTGATAGGTCCCTCCTCTCCAAGGGAAACTGCAGTACATGCGTGTACTCAATGACCTCCCACCGTTCGGAGGAATGCTGTTCCACACCGTCGGACTGGTAACACGTTTTTGAATCGTTGTCGTCTTTCACCTGACATTTACCCTGACATCTTTGCTCACCTTGCTTATTTATTTATTTGTCGTTCGCTTCATTATGCACACAGCACTCATTAACACGCTGATGGTGTGACAGGCGAGCAGGATAAAGCCTGTCCTCCTAAACCTGTTGTGTTTTCATCAGGATGAGAAACAGTCGGCAACAACACTACTCGTGGGTCCTCGGCATGGCATCAGTCACGTTATTGACTTGAAAAACAACCTGACGACAGTTCTGGCTGAGTTTAGCAGAGTAGCTAAGGTCCAACTCTACAGAGAGAGCCAAGGAGTGGCACGGGTGGAGTTGACGATCCATGAAGCCAAGGTATGGGAGCCAATTACAACAAGTGTAGCCAGTGAAATGTATACTTTACATACCCTGCAAAAATGGTATGGATCTCATTGTCATCATGTGAAAAAAATACCTGTGATTGCAAATATATATAGACTGTACATACATATAAATGTATGCATAATATATATATTTAATTTGTAATAATCACTATAATTAGTTACATTTTATTTCATCAGTTTGTTACCTAATACGTGACTGTTTTCTAAATCCTGTCTTCATCATTTTCTGCAGCCTCTGGTTCTACTCATGGAATGGCCCGATGCCAGTAATTTTGCATGCCTCATCTCTGGCTACTACAAGCTGTTTGTGGACCCTAAACGCACCATCTACTTCCGGACATCTGGTCAGCCACAGCTGACCAAAGCAGGTATGTTTGCAGTCGTGTTGTAAATATACAAATGTGGATGTAATGAATGAATGAAAAAAATCTGAAAACATAATTATGGTAAATGTCTCTTAAAGTGTTTTAATTCAGTGTCATTGCATTATTAACAACTGCATGATGTATAATATGGATTTAAATGTGTATTGTCATTGTATGCTGAGGCTACGTGGATACTGATCTGACTCTACATTAACTGGAACCATTACCTTTAGTAACCAGGATTGTTCTGGTTGTGTCATCCCATGGCGCCCTCTGCTGTCCCTTCTCTCATCTCCATCTTGACTCACAGGAATGAGATCCTCCATATGCCTTTACACTGATACGTTGTTATTTGAAAGTGCTTCAGCTGCATCATAAGCATTTTGCTTCCAAAAAATGTTTAGATTCTCTGCCATCTGCCTTCTCAGTCTGTAGTCTCCGTGAACGAAGAGCCATCATGCCATCACATTCCACCAGACTCTAACCCTCCAACGTCAAACGACCTTCAGCTTCCAACATTCATGTCTGAAATTAATTACCTACATGTGACCACCAACTGTCGCCACTGCTTTCCTATTTGGAACTTCTCTATCTGCAGTAGATCTTAACACCTCAAATTCTCCACTGCTCTGACAATTCTATCCTCAGATTACAGAAGCGCCCACCACGCCCACCCTCGTGCCGGGGCAACCAGCATGCCAAGTGGCAGTCGACGAGGGGACGAGAGGGAAAGCTCACACAGGGAGTCGGGGTCTTCACGGGCTCTGGTTCCAGTGGAGCCCCAGCATCTAGGCCTTTGTCATATCCACCTTCAAGAGCAACAGCAATTTCAGGAGATCCAAACACAGGCCGAACTTGACATCAATGAGAATTTCATTTCTCAGGAGAACCATGGGCGGCCTCGCACCAAGTCAGACCCTACCCAGCAGAGTACAGAAGAAATCGCTGCAGTTTTAGAGACCCCGGTGGAGAATCCGGGATTTAGAGTGCGGGCACAAACAATAAGTCAATCCAAGAAAAACGCACGGTACTTCTGTGACTCCTGCAAAGCCAGACTCAGAGCGGAGGGTCTGTCAGGGGCAGTGAGCGGCACCGGCTCCTCTGGTAAACACTGCTCCAGTTCTTGTGCCTCCAGAGATGGAGGTGCTGTTGATCTCATAGCCCTTCCACCGCCAGGGAATGAGGAGGAGGACGAAGAAGAGGAGGTAGAGAGCGGGAGAGAGAAGCTGCAACCACCACCACCTGCTATTGCAGCGCCACCACCTGGATTTAGGGACAACAGTTCAGATGAGGACGATCCAAAGAGAGGAAGGAAAGCACGTGCAAATTCCAGCCAGGGAGCAGCCCCGGGGAAACTGGGCCAAGCCAAGGAAGATGTGCCTGTGACACTCATTGATAATGTGGCCACCAGAACAGTCCGAGACCACGCCCAGGAGCTGGACGATGCTCTGGTGTCCACCTTACAGGCACTAGAGGCGTTGGCAGCTTCAGAGGACTACCCCCATCACCCCCAGCAGCCAACACAGACTGCAGGTCAACAACCTCAGTCAAGCTACAACCCACATCTCCGATACTCCAATACACTTGTTTATAAGAAGTTATCAGTATACACAATATTTGTAATTTATGATTTGTATTATTATTTTTGGGGAATCATTACAAAAGATATATTTCAGGTGCAGTAAAGGAATAATAATATGATTCTAGAGGGTTCATAACATCAAACTAAAATATATAAAAAACATTAAAAATTACCACTATATAAAACCAGAATACTGCTTCATTTATAATCACAGCAATGTGAAATGTGTGTATAACATGTGAAAAACCTAAAATATAATTGACTTTATATTTAACAATATTTTTATTTTGTGTTTTTATTTTTTAATGGCCATTTAACATTTATGATGTGGCTACTGACCTGTTATTATTGACATGTGTTGACATCACAGATTTGTGCTAAATTTGTACTAAAAAAAGTTTTTTCTATTTACAATCATGTACAAGTTAGTTAAAAAAACCTGCAAAGAGTTATTAACAGGATTTTTTTTGCTAAAAAAAATAGATGCAAATACTTTGTTCACAGAGTGCAGTTCAAACAGTGCAATGTGTCCTAATAACAATAATGTGGTATGAATATCTGTTGATTCCTGACCTCCCTAACAATATTCTGTGTTGCCTCCCTCTTCAGGACTGATTGTCTTAGCTGCCATTACACCTGAATCTTCACTGGACTCAGGCCATGAGACAAACTCCTCAGAGTTGACAGATGTGTCTGAAATGGTGTCGGCTATGAAGCAGAACCAGAGCCCGGCTTACCTACTAGCCCATCACATCAACAAGGAACGTATCCTGTGTCGCCGTGACTTTCCCCTGGCTATTCCTGGCTGCACTGCAAAAACCATAGGGACGGGGGCGTTCTCTGTGGGACAGATTCGTGCTGGGTGTCCCCCGAAGCAAGTTATCCTCAGCAAGACTGTGCCCTTTAAGGTCAAGCCCAGTCACGACTCGGCAATACTCAGTATTCTGAAAGAGCAAGGCGGCAATCAAGACACCACTCTGACTGAACAGAAAGCAGAGATGTCAACAAACTCTGAAATCACCAAAGTCAATGCATGTGATGCCCCCTCTAAGACCCCAGAACAACCTAAAGTGTCTGATACATCAAAGACAGCTGATGTGTCTAAGGAGCAGACAATAACAGATTTGTCTGGGCAGACGCCATGCCAAAAAGTTTCTGAGGACATTAAGGAGAAGACTACAACACCACCTAACACTGGCCCAAACAAGAAAGCCTTACCAATTCTCTTGCCGGTGGATAGAACATCCTCTGCCAAGATTTCCTCCACAAAAATATGCCCGGATGCCGAAACTGCCTCTAGTGAGACCATTAAGCCTTCAAGCTCTGCTGAACATCTGCCAGTTGATGACCTTTTCTGCACATGCCCAGTAAAGCAGGAGCCAGGGCCACAAGTACAAGCTAAAGACCCACAGGTCCAGAAAGTGGTAATGTTTCAATCTCCTTCTCCCACAGATGATGAGCGCCTCAGAGCCAAAAGCCTCCAGTTGGCTTCTGGCAAAGAAAACTCAGTGAAAAACTCAGCAGATCCTGGACTGACCAAACCCTGTCCTCATATACAGACAAAATACTCTCCTTGTTTACCAGCGAAAGCAGAGAGAAAAGAAGTCCCAGAAAGCAAATCTGAAGGTCCTCAAAGCAAATCGCAAACTGACTCACAGAAAGGACCTGTGAAGTCCTTCCCAATTTTAGATGATCCATTAAAACACAGCGCATCGGTAGAAATGGTCTGCACTCTCCCTTCCCGAGAAGCAAAGAAGCAAGGCATTGGTAAGGCAAAGTCCCAGCGTAGTGCACCTTTCATGAGCTTCAGAAATCTTCTTTCTGCTACATTTCCAGCGAGGATGCGAAGGGAAACGGATGAGCGCAGAGCCCAGCTGCAAAAGGTTCGACAATACGAGCTAGAATTTCTAGAAGAGCTGCTTAAACCCAAGTCTTCACAGGCTGAATTTATGTCCCAGGGGTCGTCACCAGTGCCCTCAGGCACTCCTTGTGCCTGCCAGCTTCGCACCAGCCCTGTCCTGAAGGCACCAGGTATCTCCAGAGAGCAGAGACGCAGCTGTGACTGTAAGCGAATGTGTAGGGGTATGCGATTACCTGACACACCGGTTGGCTCCACAACAGAGATTCAAAACAGAGGCAGAGAGAGGGCTATTTCTAAGACACCTCCAGTGGTCTCCAAAACCCCTCATGCTCAAGGTGCCACAAGGAGACCCCAGACCTTAGAGATTAAAACCACCCGGATACGTTCCACTAGCCTGGAGTCGAGAGAGCCGAGGGGAGAGAAAGGCTCCTGTCTGCCCGCCTGTACCACTACAACAGACTGCACTGAGGCCCCACAATATACAAAGCTTCAGAGGAGATACAGCATCGGGGAGCTAGATAATAGCACCAGCACACCTGTCTATGCTGAGGTGAAACCCAAAACTAAGAGTCTAGAAAAGGAGATGGAGAGAGTGAGGGCCACAGGACTCAGGCTGCCCACCCCTGTAGAGCCGGTCCACACTCAGTCTCACCAGGTGGAGGCCAAGGGGAAGAAGGGAGTATTTTTTATCCAAGGAGAAGAACTAATTTGTGAAAACAAAGAGGGAACTGGAGAGGTGCTGTTGACCCTGCCGAGCGAAGACAGCGACGACAAGGATAAATGCTGTTCATTCTGTTTCTGCTACAGGAAATGCGAGGCCACAGACGAAAGCAGCGAGAAGGATGAGCTCTCGTACTCCATACCGCTCCAGGTCCTCCCAGGCATGGAGCTCGACTCACGCACCATGCCTGTAGTAAGCAAAACATTGCAGGTTCTGAATGCTGAGGACTGCAGTGGGGAGGAGGAGGAGGAGGAAGAGGAAGAGGAGGAGCCGCAGACACAGGAGATTGATCTAAGAGCTTGTGGTACCCTAGAGGGTAGCCTGGCACGGGTGCAGGCTTTGCAGGGCAAGACATTCAACTTACCTGATGGTTTCCTAAATGCCCAGCTGGATGCTAATGAGTTGCTAGCTATTTTACGTCAGTGTGCTAACAGCCCACAAGCCGAGGGCGAGGCTCGCCTCCAACCCTCACGGATTACAGAGTACAAGCAGGAGCTGGCTGTTCGCTTTAAAGAATTCAGAGCATCCTGTCGACGGGTGGCGAGCGTTGAAAAAAGCCCGACACGGATGCTCGCTGTGGTCTCGGCCAGTTTTCAAGTGCTGTGTGAACTCACTCAGACCTTTATTAAATTAGTTAGAGGGGTTCGTTCTGAAGCCCAGAGGCTGCAGCTGTTGAGGAAAGTCGAGGAGGTAGCTATCAACTACACTTTGCTTCTGCGTGCAGCAGAAGAATCGATGGGACACTCCAGCAGCCTGCCAACAAAGACAGTGAGTCCTCCAGTCTCCACCAACACCAACAACATGAGCTCCCTCACTCGGCCGATCAAAACTCTCCCTGCGCAGTGAAAGTGAATCTGACAGGAATGGAATCACAACAGACCAATATGTGGCTGGCTACTGTATCCACATACATTATTTATTCATGGTTTACAATTTTTTTTGTTTTTTTTTTACGAGATGTTAAATTCATCCTCAGATAAATCTATAATGCAGCTGTTTCATTTCATGTTTACAGGCCCTGAGGTAGCCTCACGGATCTTATTTTGAAATATAAAAATACACCAAAATAATGCACAAAGGAATAAGAACCCTATTACAGAATGGGCGATACAGGGCTAATGACCTCATTATCAAATTCACCATATACATAGGACATTCAAGTATAAGTATTTTATATATAATGTATATTTGAGTTGTGTATACTTAGCAAATAATATAAAGTTTTGTGAAGACAAAAGAATTCTAATATATATATAATATGGTAATAATTAAATATGTTGAAATGTATTGATTTAACAGAGTTATAACAATTAATCAAAAGATAATTATTATTAGCAATGGACGAAAATATTTCAGAGATCACATCAAGTAGCGACTTCTGTAAATTGCATAGTCCAATGCGTTGGTTGGTTAGATGGTGCTGTGTGTGTGTGTTTGTTGAAATATCTACCTGTTGTAACACAAAGTTGGACGTTTCTGTTGGCTGAGTTGACGGTGTCCGGCGAAGTGAGTCAAAAGGGAAATCACCGACAGAGAAATGAGACGACACTGAACTTTTATAGAATCAAATCAGCTCGTTCTCTCGCTATAGTGGAGCAGGTTAAAAAAACACACACACCTGCTCAGGGCAGATGATGTAGCAGAGACACAAGTCACACACAAGTCCGCTGTACAGTAATGAGTGTCGTTACCTCACTCAGCTCTAGAGAAACATCCACTGTACCCAGTAATAGCGAGAGTGTACTCACGCCCTCACTGATCAACAACTAACTCGCATCTCACAGGTGGTGGATCGTAGTTTTTAAGTATAACTATCCACTTGCAAGTGAGTTAAGTGTACTGCTAGAATTTTGCACAGCCTTTAAACCTGTCTTTTTAGGTGACATGTATATACCCTATTGTTTGACTCAGCCTTATTTTAGTTCACCCTGCTGCTATAACACACGTTTGCGTTCTCACCACTGGTTTCACATCGTTCATCTCCTCAAGGCTACCGCTTAAATATTCTTTTTTCTTTTCATTCAGGGTTACAGATACAATGGAGAAAAAAATGTTTTGCTTTCTATGTGCTGTTACATTGTGCAGTCTAGAAATATATATAAGAAACACACAAAGTAGTTTTCTATGTATTTTAATAAAACCAAAATGTGTTTGCCGTCTGAATTCTCTTTTGTGTCTCATCCTCTTGTTATTTCCACAAATCAATTAAAGAGGTTTGACATACATAATAATAATAATAGTTATAATGTGAAATATTTTAATCCCACACTGCAGGAATTTTTGTGTTAACAGCAGATTTGACACCCCTGTTCTAAAGACAAGAAATTTCCCAAACATCATTTCACAGATCTCTTAAGTCGTCTGGGACTGACAAAAATCAATGTCATTGAAATTTTAAGTCAACAAAGTTGGGCAACACGATATATAGTTTTGTAAGAGATACAGTATTTATACACTGCATTTCCAAACAAGCTTAAGATTGAAGTTCAAGATTTTAAGTCAACAGCGGTGTAAACTTTTCTATCCAGATTTTGCCATAGCGTGACAGAGAAATCGGAAGA